TCTACTTGTAGTACTATCAGTGTCGTTCCATGATTCTAATTGGCATTCAAGCATCTCTAATACGCTTGGAGCTGTTTAAGTTCTTGTTACATCCACTTTAGTGAGTTTGAAATGAGTAGATTTGTAAGTACTATACTATATAATACCTTTGATATTATACGGCAAATTATTAGGGAGGGCAGTGGAAAGCACATCGCATTATGTCACAAAGTCAACTGATCATTAGCGGGAGACATCAGGTTATGCCACTTGTGAAACGCATTGTACTGGTCGTACCGCTTCTTTAGCGCCTGTAGCCGGGGCAGATTGGGCCCAAACAGGTACCGGGGGCTATAATTGTGTCCTGGAAACAGTGTCAGAAGCGTTTTTTGTTAGAAAAAGAATGGATCAGACTTACCCGCGTAATTTGCATATGACCTGATGTGCTCATCGCTTCCCGTCTGGCCCTGCAAGGCTCGGATCTTGCGCAGAATAGCGCGCCCGTGCTGGGTGAGGACTGCATCGTAACTGGGATCGTGCCAGCAAAGGAGCATGCCCTCGTTATACGACTTGCCCCGGTTGGCTCACGAGGTCGCGTCGACGGGCAGGCTGGCGACCTTTGCATACGGCAGCAGCTCAAACACCAGCACGCTATTTCCCATGCCCGGGGATTCCAGCATGACTTGGTTAAACTCTGTCCAGATCTCGTGGGCCAGCTTTGTGTCAAGCGGGGAGTGGATTTCTGTGCCTCCAATCCATTTCCGGCTGGCGGGGGTGGGATCGATATTAGCAAGGTGGTTCATCTCTGTGTATGAAATCATGTCGACCTTGCCTAGCGTAGAAGGCAGCGAGAGCAGCGGCGCAAAGAACGCCGTTGCTTTCTCTATGGGCCCGTTGTAGAAGAGCAGCGCCATAACCATGGTCTCTTCCACGGGGGAGGGCGCTTGGAAACCAAAGAAGAACCCGCTGCGCTCATCCTGCTGCGCGTGGAACTGGTTTGCAAACTTAACAATCTGAGCAAGCTTGTCGGTGCTATAGTAGAGCAGCCCTCCAAAGACCTTGTGGGGGAGGTCATGCGCGCGGAAGACTAGCTCTGTTACAACACCAAATGCCTGGCCCGCGCCGCGGATCGCCCAGAAGAGATCTTTGTGCCAGTGCTCGGACACCGCGAGAATGCTACCGTCTGCCAGGACTACCGTTGCCTCGACAAGATTATCAACAATCAACCCGTATTGCCCCGTTAGCCAGCCAAACCCACCACCCAATGTCGATCCGCCCACACCCGTGTGGCTCGCAGTGGCTCCCACGACAGCAAGGCCATGCTCGGCAGTGGCCTTGTTAACATCCTCCCAGGTGGCGCCTCCCTGGACACGGACGGTCTTGGAGGCAGGATCCACGATAACATCTCGCATGCGATGCAGACTAATCACAATGCCGCCGCGGGTCGCAGACTCACTGCTTGTGGAATGGCCTGCTGCTTTGGCAACAAACTCAATGTGATGATTCCTCGCAAAGTTTATGGTCTTGGAGACTTCGTCCGCCGAGGTGACGTTGACAATTGCTCCCTAGAATGCCGTCAGCGATCCTGTGCAGATAGATGGGACGTAGACCTGAGAGACGTACAGCTTCCTTTTCGCACGTCTCGGACCACGACTTGATGTCCTCGTGGTAGGACTCCGAGCCCACGTACGAGATCTCTGCGCGGGTGCCTTTCAGCTCTCGCTGGAGCTCCAGTGCTAGACTCACGTCCATAAACCGCATGGTGACAGGGCCTTGCCAATGCAGTTATTGATGTCCAAGCGGACTAAAGCTATTCGAGGAATTCTACAGAATTACCAAAGCAAGGGTGAAGACACAAGGCCACAAAGAAATAACTCGGCATTTCCAGGGTCAGTCAAGCGGGCAATGACTACGTATTCTGGGGCTCGCAGGAGAGAAGCAAAATGTTGGTGATGTCAATACTGTGGTGGTATGGACGGCGGTGGTGTGGCGACCAACAAGCGTTTCGCAGCCGCGACGAGTGGCAAACGAACAATATCCCCCGGGGTTGTGTGACCAGCCTCGAGATTTTACTCTCCGAATGAACCTTTTTTTTTTTTTTTTTTTGTTTTTTTTTGGCCTCGTGATCTATGATATGCCTGAAATCATAAGGACGGGGATAACTCCACGCATCCCCTCGCCATCCATCGACCGAGGCCACAGTATAGCTAAGTAAATAAATCCATGTTGAAGCTCATTCAAGCCCAACGACTGCCTGCACGCAGTATCATCCGCACCTATCGCAAGGTACCAAACTACCACCACCATTTTCATTTACAATCACCTGCATCGCAAACCCGCGCCATGTTCTCCCTAATGCAGCAGCGCCGGCCAGCAGGCGGAGGCCTGCTCTCGCTGATGCGCGCCCTCGATGACTACGACAGTTCCATCTCCAGCCAGCTCCCGGGCCTCTCGCCGCGGTTCGATTCGGTGTTGAGAAGAGGGACATCGAGATCGAGTTCCCGAATGCCAGTACACTAAAGATTCGCAGCCATACCGAGCAAGAGACCTCGGAGGGCGCCGAGGGGGCCTGGTGCGGAGCGGTCAACGGGGGACTTTAGACGGTCTTTCTCATTCCCTAGGCCAGTGGATCGTCACCATGTAGAGGCAACGCTGAAGAATGACGTTTTCTCCATTAACATTCCAAAGGCGGAGGAGTCTTCGACGGGGAAGCGCATTGATATGCAGTAGCTTTGTTTTGCGAATGTCTCTCCAGCTCAAAAATGGCGTGCGAGTTACATCAATGTCAAACTTCAAGCATGCAGTAGTATAATGGAATGCTGTCTATTTTGAGATGCTCCATTGGAAGAAAATTTCGAGCCGTGCACAAAGCAATACAATAATGAAAAACCGATAGACTTGCCAGTACCGTGCGTCAAATGTAGAGATAAAGCACCCAGCAAAGCGCTCGATCCGGAGCTGGCAAAGCATAAGAAGGTCTGCTAGTAGTATGCACTCCATTGGCCGCAGGTCTCCTGATAGTACATTCGACAGTGATCATACCACTATGCAGAAGCAGCCGGACACCGAGTGCTTAACCGAGCCTGCGCTGGATCTCAGCCTGATAAGCATCATTTCGGCACAAGAGCTACAAGTGCTACAATGGGTGGATCCAGACCTACATCTACTATCAACACGAAACAGCATTCCGAACGTCCAAAGCCAACAGTATGTTCCGCCGCCGTGACCCCGACACCACACACGCGTGGATCATCGGCTCCGACCTGTCCTCGCTCGCTACGGCCGCATACCTCATCCATGACGCGCATATGCCTGGGCCCCACATCAACATCCTGTTTGACGTTCCCCGATTTGTCCGGACACCCCGGACCCCGCGGAGTTGGAATTTACCTCGGGTTCGGTGGACGGGTGCACAGCGCATCTCCTCTCGTGCGTCTCCGAGGCAATACGACCAGACGCGTCCATCCTCGACGAGCTCATCGAGACGGCGCGCGAAACTACGTCAAACCAGCTGCCGCAGAGCGGTAGCGGTGGTGGCTCCTTCTATTACATCCGGAATGATGGCTGCGGAATCCGCAAGATCCAGCAGCCCAGGTCACAACGCATCTCCGGCTGCCGGAGCAGAGGGATCTTGTCAAAGTCAGGCTCGACGACCCCTGGAATCTTCGGGTGAAGTCAATTGACGAGTGCTTCCGGTCGTCGGTTTTCAAGTCAGACCTGTGGCTGTTGTTTTGTACGAGGTACGCTTGGGTTTTTTTTTTTTTTTTTTTTTTTTTTTTTTTTTTTGGGAGATTCGCGCTCCGGTCATGCCATAGCGCAATGGAGTTCCAGAAGTGTCTATGCAAGTACATCGAAGATACCCGGGCCGATCGAATAGACCAGCCCGTGGATTCCCGGGTGGGACTGACGTCCCTCGCCGAAACGGTGGGGGCGTATCTCCAGAGTGAAGGCGTGGACTTTTGGCCAGACATGCAAATCCCCAATCTCAAGCTTAATACAACCGAAGCACTCCTCGTGCGTGTCTTGGCAATCGAAGCCACAGACAGCCGAAGCAGCAGCAGAAGCAGCAGCCAGCCTCTTGAGATCCCCCTCCAGCCCGAAGACATCCTTCTCGTGGCTCTCGGGTCGGCTAATTCGGGGTCGCTTGTGGGACGCAATGGCGCGCCGCCGCCACCGACCCCCGTGCGCGCGGAGCGCATCCTCAACGCCTCATGGTCGCTGTGGTTCCGGATTGCGCACCTCTCGCTGGACCTGGGCAACCCAGCCGCATTCTGCACGCATCTGTCCGAGTCCAAGCTCGAGATGTTCACGGTGATCCTCGACCACGAGGATGATAAGGCCGGTGGGGGGCTGTATGCGTATCTTGCAGAGCGGATCGGGCAGGGCTCGAGCCTGGCAATGCAGGACAGTAACTGGTCGCTGCGTCTGTGTGTTTCGCGTCGGGACAGAGGCATGTCTAGCTCTGCACCTGAAGCAGTGTACAGTACCATCTGGGGCTACGGGCTCACTCCCGAGCAGCCCGGGAACTTCATGCGCAATCCCATGTGCTGTTGCGCCGGCCAGGAGATCCTAAGCGAGGTGCTCTCCCATCTAGCCTCCCCGTGCTCTTAGTATGGGCGGAATGTAGTGGGATTTCTTTTTGGCTTCCCCAAATGTGAAAAGACATAGTTAGTTCTGTTATTGTCCATATTTGAAGGCAAACGGCCTGCTCTGCTAGCACTAATATCATCATATCATGCATACTTAAACATAAGTGAGGTCGAGCAAGGAAGATTTAGTGAGTAGGTAGTGTCAGTTGAAAATGGAAATCGCTGAAGGGAACAACGAGGGAAACTATCGAGCAACCAGCCAGCTTACAGCAAATGCCGAAATATCATTTGTATAAGCCCCCTTTAAAAGAGACCTGACTCCTTGGCCACGCACACAGACCACAGCATTCCTTCTCATTCTTCTTTTATACCGAAGCTGTTCCTTCCTCCCGCACATCCGATACGAAAAGAATCGACCGCTGACACAGCGGGCACTTGTTGTTGTTGTACAGATACCAGTACCGCAGGCACTTTTCGTGAAAGATATGGCGACATGCAAGGGAATGCACAAAGTCGTCGGGTTGGATCTCGTCGAGACAGATGGGACTGAAACGCTCAATCCCGTGAGTCACTTTCAATCTTTTTTTTGGACAGATGATTTGGGATATTACATACCACGTCACGGACAGTTCGTCCGCGGCATGGAGACTGAGGGGCGTCCGCTCAGTCGGGTTGAAGACTGGACACCACTCCCGCAAGCGAACTCGCCCCACGCCCCTCTCCAGGGAGACGAGCTTGGCTTGCAGCCCGTCGGCGGTGAAGGTGCCGAGGGGGCAGTTCTCGAGGCGCTGGTACAGCGTCCGTTGGCCCTCGCGGTAGGAATAGAGGAGCCTACCATGCATGCCCGAGATCAGATCAGACCTACGTTTTGAGCTCAAAACGGGAGTAGATTGGACCAAGTGATGGGAATTGGGGGAATGGGGGCGCGCTCTCACCAAGTCATTGCGGTTATGTAGACGGCAAAGGAACACACGAGGAGGAGGAGTTGTGAGGCACTCATCATGTCCGTAGATTGAATGCTCTTGGGAGGCTAGTAGCCGGCCACCTACTTGGGTGTACAATCCAGTCTTATGTAGCCGGGACCTATCAATGGAGGGTATGTATCTACTTAGTTCGACGGCTTTAAAGACAGTCACCCGCCTGTATATCAATCTTCATGCCGCTGCCCTTCAGGCGTCAGGCCACGCTCCCACTCGAGCCCCGCATGGAACTACCCCAAGTCCATTGTGAGCCACCGACAGCTCGGCCGAAAGCTTGGTCGTGCCGAGCTTGGCCCGCATTTACTAGCAAAGCTGTACTAGCAAACAGCAAACTTTAAGAACTTTGCATTGATAAATTACGATAGGCACACACGGGACTAAGATTCAGCCTGATGCGTAGAGCTGAGCCAGGAAAGAGAAGAAACAAATGAACATAGCCCAGTCAAGTAATATTATGCTTGAGTATACCTCGAGTATACCCCATATAAGCCTCTTTAACTACCTATTCTTCTGGTGAGTCCGCGCCCATTTCCTGCAGACTCTGCGCGGCCCTCTCGCGAGCCTCCTCACTCACGAGCGGGTTATGCTGGGCACTACATAGTAAGACCAGATCAGCCATCATCATCATCATCATCATCAAAAAGACAGAAAAAAAAATTCACCCTCTAAGCCCGCCCGCGACCCGAGTCGGGCTCTTCGGCTTCACATGCTGCCGGTACAGCTCCTCGCGGGCCTCCTCGTCGTGCATCTCCGCCAGCATCCTGCGCGCATGCTCCTTGCCCTCGGCGGAGACGAGCGGGTTGTGGAGAGCCCTATGTATGGACATTCTACAGTCAGCTGGCTATACATAATCTCACCATGCATATATTGTTTTGCTTCTCCCAAACTCCAGTCCCGGTTGATTTGATTTAATTCGATTTGATTGCCATACATACCCTTTATACCCCCTCGCCGCATTAATCCTCTCCTGCGGAGACCTCGGTCGCCGATCTTCTTCTTCTTCTGCCTTGGACAGGTTCTTCCGCTGGCGGTGGTACGCGGCATGGGGCGGCCCGCTGTCATCGAGCAGCTCGTGCCGCGCTTCGTCGACGTCGAGCTCGAGGAGCAATTGCCGCGCGTGCTCTTTGGCTTCGGCTGAGACGTGCGGGTTGTTCAGGGCGCTGTGAATGTGTGTAACCAGATTGCGAGTCAGTGAGGGTACATAGAGACTTAGGAAGAAAGGGGTGTCCGGCGCACTGACGCTCTGTACCCGCGCGCGGCGTTGATTCGGCCCTCGGGGCTGGATGGGGGTTTGTTGTGCGTGGACATGATGATCGGTTTGATATCTGCTCTGCTAGGGGTTGCTGTATAGACATTTGAGTACCAGTGAGTTCGGAGGACGATTGTAAGGATGTACAGCTTGGGCAGGGCCTCTGAAAAGACCCTTGAGAGGGAAGCTGCAGACGATCTACATCTATGGAACCCACGATCCAGCAACCATGGGCAGTACCGTAGTGGTGGGCTGACAAGCAGGCTGAACCATGGAACTGGAATCTGGTGCACGGCAGCTTGTTCCAGACTCTTGCTGGTTGCCTGACAGTCGCGCCATAAGTCTGAGAAAAAACATACCAGATACATCTCGTATAACTATGAGCAAATTCCCTCACAGGAGACAAGTAGCCATACCCTCTACCAAACTGTTTCTAAGCCAAGACAAACCACCTATCTACTTTTAGAAAGTAAAAACACCATGCACAAGACCACCTTCGTCGCTGACTTTCAGGACATCCGCCGCGACGGCTGTGCCTCGGTCGGCGGCAAGAACGCCTCGCTGGGCGAGATGATCAGCACGCTCACTCCGCGGGGGATCCCCGTGCCGCCCGGGTTCGCCGTCACCTCGCACGCGTACTGGGAGTTTGTGCAGGCGAACGGGATCCGCGAGAACATCGCGCGGCTGATCGCCGTTTGGCAGAGCGGGCGAGCGACGCTGACCGAGACGGGCGAGACGATCCGCAAGCGCTTCCTGCTGGGTTCGTGGCCCATTGACGTCGAGGATGCGATCCGCGGCGGGTACCGCAAGCTCGCGATGGAAGCCGGGGTGGATAAGGTGAGTGTTGCGGTGCGGTCGAGCGCGACGGCAGAGGACCTGCCGGATGCGAGCTTCGCGGGGCAGCTGGACTCGTTTCTGAATATTGAGGGAGAGGAGGCAGTGCTGCTTGCGTGCCGGCGGTGCTACGCGTCGCTGTTCACGGACCGGGCGATCAGCTATCGGCAGACGATGGGGTTTGACCATGCGAAGATTGCGCTGTCCGTCGGGGTGCAGCGAATGGTGCGCTCGGACGCCAGCGGGTCGGGGGTCATGTTCTCGATCGACACAGAGAGTGGGTTCGACAAGGTGGTCATCATCAACGCGGCATGGGGGCTCGGCGAGAACGTTGTGCAGGGGACGGTAAATCCGGACGAGTATCAGGTGTTCAAGCCGCTGCTCGAGGACGAGAAGCTGGCCCCGATCATTGACAAGAAGTGCGGCGACAAGGCGATGAAGATGGTCTTTGCAGGCCCGGCCCAGCACCACCATCAACCGACAACACGGAACGTGCCGACTTCAAAGGCCGAGCGCGCGGCGTTTGTTCTGAATGACAAGGAAATCCTGCAGCTGGCGCGCTGGGCATGCACGATTGAGCGGCACTATGGCTGTCCCATGGACATGGAGTGGGCCAAGGACGGGCTGACCGATGAGCTATTCATTGTTCAGGCACGGCCTGAAACCGTCCACTCGCGCAAAGACGCCGCCGTGTTCAAGACATATAAACTTGGCAAGAAAGGCCGCGAGCTGGCCAAGGGCCTCTCCATCGGGGCAGCCGCCGTGGCCGGCAGGGTCTGCCTGATCGAAGACGCCAAGGACATTGGCCAGTTCGTCGATGGGTCCATCCTGGTGACCAAGGCGACGGACCCCGACTGGGTGCCCATCATGAAGCACGCCGCGGCCATTGTCACGGACCACGGTGGGCGGACATCGCACGCGGCTATCATCAGCCGCGAGCTTGGTCTCCCCGCAGTTGTGGGCACCGGCAACGCCACCTACGTCCTGCACACGGGGCAGGACGTAACCGTCTCGTGCGCTGAGGGTGACAACGGGTTCGTCTACGAAGGCTGCTCGCCGATCAAGACGGAGACGATTAACCTCACTAACCTGCCAGAGTCACCAACCAAGGTGATGCTCAATCTGGCAAACCCGTCCGCCGCCTATCGGTGGTGGCGCCTGCCTGCCGACGGCATCGGCCTTGCGCGCATGGAGTTTGTCGTGACCAACGCGATCCGAGTGCACCCGATGGCCCTCGTGCACTTTGACAAGCTCAAGGACGCAGGCGCCAAGCAGCAGATTGCACGCCTGACGGCCAGATACATGGACAAGCCCGCCTATTTTGTTGAGAAGCTGGCGCACGGGTTCGCGGCGCTGTGCGCCGCGACGTACCCGCGACCGGCGATCCTGCGACTGAGCGACTTCAAGACAAACGAGTACGCCGGCCTGATCGGGGGCATCGAGTTCGAGCCGCAGGAGGAAAACCCCATGCTAGGCTTCCGCGGCGCGTCGCGCTACTACTCCCCGCACTACAAGGAGGCCTTCGGGCTCGAGTGCCGCGCGATCAAGTACCTGCGTGAGACAATCGGGTTCACCAACGCGATCATCATGATCCCCTTCTGCCGCACGGTCGGCGAGGCGCAGCGGGTACTACAGACCATGGCCGAGAACGGGCTCGTGCGCGGCGAGAACGGGCTACAGGTCTACATGATGTGCGAGATCCCGTCGAATGTGATCCTGGCCGCGGATTTCGCAGAGTACTTTGATGGGTTCTCGATCGGGTCGAATGACCTGACGCAGTTGACGCTGGGCGTTGACCGGGACTCGGAGGAGCTGGCAGATCTGTTTAGCGAGCAGGACAAGGCCGTCGAGTGGATGATTGCAGAGGTTATATCTGTCTGCCGCAAGAAGGGGTGCAAGGTCGGGATCTGTGGGCAGGCGCCCAGTGACCACCCAGAGTTTGCGCAGTTCCTGGCGAAGCTGCACATTGATTCCATCTCGGTCAGCCCGGACAGTTTTGTTGCAGTCAAGAGGAACGTCTGTCTTCCATCGGCGAATGGGCCTGTTTAGGAATAATCTATGCATCTGTTTACCTACTTCAGGTTGAAAGTTTTAATGAAAGTGTACAATTTGTAGCAATCTTGAATACAGTTACTCTGATACCCCTATACAATACAATAGAATAATAAATCAGTACTGCTCCTGCACCCGATCCAAGGTGCACTTTAACTCCTGCGCCGACTTCACAATCGCCTCCTGCTCACGGGCACTCAGCCCCGCGGGAACCCGCTGAACAACCCCCGTGCGCCCCAGGACAACCGGCAAGCTGAAATAGCATCCAAACTCCGGCTGGAAGTGGCTGATAGGCCGTACATTGCGCCGGTCCTGCAGGATTGAGGTACAGATACTAGACACGACGGATCCGATCCCAAAGGGCGTCGCCCCCTTGGCCGCGACAATGCTGCGCGACTGGTTCCGGCATTCGCGGGCAAGACTTGCCTTGTCAGCCTCGGTGGCCATGCAGGGGAGCGCCGCCTTGTCCAGTGGGACGCCGCCGATTGTCGCTGTGGACCAGACGGCGACTTGGGCGTCGCCGTGGATGCCCAGGACGTACAGGTCTATCGAGCTCTGTGCGATCTGTGCCTTATCTTAGTACTGTGATTCGCCGTGCGCTATCAAATCGAGTGGACTCGTACATACACCAGCCTTGTCCGCCAGGAGGCCCCGCAGCCTCACGGAATCAAGAAACGTGCCGGACCCCAGGACCTGCGAAGGCGGGAGCCCTGAGAGCTCCTTGGCCAGTGAGGTCAGCAGATCGACCGGGTTCGCAACGACAAGCAGGATCGTGTCGGACCGGAACGGCTTCATCTCGTTGACGACGGACCGGAGGATCCCCGTGTTGCGGTACAGGTAGTCCAGGCTTGTTTGGCCTGGCATAATATCATGTTTCAGCAAAAAGTATATTCCTATGTTTCAACTCGACAACTGTACGTGTTTGCGTGTTTGCTTACCGTATGAAAACTTCGACCCCGCAGTAATCACCACAATATCGCACTGGCCGGCCTCGCGATACCCTGCGGCGTGAACGCGCGTCCTGCTCCCGTGTGCGTATGCGACATCGGTCAGGTCGCGCGCCTGGCTGTCCCGCCATTCTGCGCGGATGTCGACGATGAGCAGCTCGTCTGTGACGGAGCCCAGGATGAGGGCGTATGCGACCGCAGCACCGACCTGGCCGACGCCGATGATTGCAACGCGGGAGATCTGCCTGTCCATGGTGTTGCTGTCAGAATATGGTTTCAGTGCAGAGGTTGGTAGGAGAGAATCAAAGGCCTATCACTATTATTATTATTATTATCTCTCTTGCCTGATGTTCGCGCCAAGTAAATAGGCCTACATAAGGCGAACCGATGGACGGAAGCGGCGATCGCTGATATCTCATGCACTGTGGCCTGACACATTTCGCTTCCTCAGCCCACCACAGAACGCTCTATCACTGGCGGATTCTACGCCTACAACAGGGGAGGCTATCGGAGATCTATGACCGGTTGACGTGCCCGGGCCTGTGGTTTGCTCGCGGCTGAGAGCGTTCCAGGTGTCCGGGGTCAAGGTAGCCACCGCGCAGTCGTGCCGTCATACTCGTGGCATGCAAGACCATGTGGCAAGGAGATGCTCGGCAGCGATCTCAAATCCAGAGTAGAATGTCTCGCCGTGCATATAGGCGATGGAAATAACTATACAGCTCCGCGGTTTACTCACGCAGCTACAGAAGATTAATACCATAGCGTGTCAAAAGTTTCCCGACACTTAGCGCGTCTTCGGGAACGCGTAAACAGAACCAAAACTTCAACCTCAATTATCTCCACAACCACGAGGTCTTTCGGTACCGAAATTAGTGGGAACCGAAGGCCTAAATCTGAACTTTCACCTGAGGCGCGTTCCGCTATTTTATATGGCCTAGAGCTTGGGCAATCGCCATCGCAACTAGCGCGCGAGTTTAAAGTCAACCGCTCGACTATTTATGACACCAAGAAGCGCTTTTTGCAGCATAACACCACTAAATCACGTCCTAGAAATGGTCGCCCGCAGAAGCTTAGTGAAGTAACTAAGCGCTGGGTGTATCGCTTAGTGCGCAGGCGCCCAGATATCTTGTGGAAGGCCTTGACAATCGAGACCCCCGGTCAGCCTTCTATCTCGACTATTCGACGAGCTCTAAAGAAATATCATATCCGTAAGTGGCGGAGCAAGAAGAGGATACCTTTATCTAAGGAAGTTGCTAAAAAACGCTTTAATTTTGCGCGAAGGTGGCTGCGAAATCCAGCCTGGCGCACCTGGATCTTCTCTAACGAATGTTCTATTCAGCGCGAAGCAAATAAGTGCTTGAAATTTGTCTTTCGATACCAGAAAGAAGGCTTTAGAGAGGATCTAGTGAACCTCCACTATCATGGGAAGCCTATATCACAAATGGTCTGGGGCGCTATCTGGCATGGTGGTCGATCAAAATTGGTGGTTATGGAGAGGGATAAGGATAGTGCTTGACGGGGCTATACAGCGAGGTCCTATATAAAAACCTTAGAGGAAGGCCTAATTAAACACTACAAACCTGGCACTCTATTTCAGCAAGATAACGCGCGGATTCACACTGCTATCGAGACGCAGGAGTGGTTTGAATCGCATGGGATTTATGTTATTGAATGGCCTTCACACTCGCCTGATTTAAACCCTATTAAACACGTCTGGAACCTCCTAAAGCGGAAGCTATATGAGCTTTATCCCCAGATCTATCTGGAAGGAAGGTCTCACATTGATTGGAAGAACTTTGAAGAAGCTATTCAAGAAGCTTGGTGGGCCATCCCCCAGGCGTTGATTGATAGTCTTATCGATTCAATGCCTCGCAGAGTAATGGCGGTGTATCGAGCTCGCGGGTGGTATACAAAGTACTAAATAGCTTCGATTTGCATGTATTTAGAAGGCCTAATTCGTTGTGGTTGTTGAAATATCAAGCGTTGAAGTATATATATATTTTCGATGTGGGGCGGGTGTCGGGAAACTTTTGACCTATGTTTAAACTTACTCGATAGTGATAACCATACGCTGCTCCGCCCTCGTATATTTAAACTTCCCACGGAACAATCGTACCTCGTTCAAAGAATAGAGACCGAGACCTCTACTACACAACCTATGGAGAATACGGGGGGGAGGCTGCATCCCAAGGCAATACCAAGAAGCGGAAAACGTGGCCACCGCAAGACGTTACGTTGCTCAAGAAATTGCATGCAGCTGGGAAGACCTGAAATGAAATCAGTGCGAAATTTGGTGGGAAGCGGTCTGCTGCGGCTTGTCGATTATACTATCAACGCCGCCGCGGCTTAAGCGAAAAGCCTCCGTGGAAACCGGCAGAAGATAAATTGCTACATGAATCAGTCACACAAGGGAAGTCCTGGGATCGCGTTAGTGAAGCACTTGGTGGGAAGCGGACCCGTGCTGGCTGTCAGCGACGCTGGTCGCGCTTGCAACAACTCAGCAAGTTAGACAAGGAGGCTTCCCCGAAATGCCGCTGGGAGGCAGTCTCTAGGCACCAAGAGATTCACGGGCCAAGTTCCCTCGCTCCAAACTTTACTGCTATCGATAGTC